AGGATCTGTCATACTAGAAGTTAAAAATAGCCTATTCAACAGAGTAGGGAAAACATTTCAGTTTCTTCAAAATAAGGCCGGAAACTTCAGTATAAACAGACAAGTAAACATAAAATAAGTTTGGAAGAATGCTTTCTATTAACTGAGATATTGATTTGGGTACCAAGATTATGTATAATGTTTTTTTTTCTGTTCTTTGCTTACACCAATTTTTAAGTGTGAAAGACATATATGTCAGATTACCTGTGTCATAAAAATAAGTTAGAAAGGGAAAAAGGTTAAGACAAATGCATGTGTGAAATGAAAAATGACAAAGTTTTTCTGTCCATGCCTCAGTCACCTTTGTGGGCTCTTCTTCCCTTCCCTGTCCTTTCCTTTTAAGCTTTATTGAGATATAATCTACATAGCCTCAAATTCACTCATCGAACTGCACAACTCAATGATTTTTAGTAAACCGTATGGAGCCATGCATCTCTCACCCTGAAGGCCTCCGATGCCTGTCTACAGTCATTCCTTTCTCCTATCTCCAGCCTCAGGCAACCACTGATCTGCTTTCTGTCTTGACAGATGTGCCTTTTGGGGAATTCTCACATAAACGTAATCCTATAAGGTCTTTTGTGTCTGGCTTCTTAGTGTTTTTGAGGTTGACCATTCTGTAGCATTTATTGGTAGTTCATTCCTTTCTATGCAGGGTAATTCTTCTTTTTTTTTTTTTAAGTTTATTTATTTGAGAGAGAGAGAGAGGGAGAGGGAGAGACAGAATCCGAAGCAGGCTCTGCAATGTCAGCACAAGCCCGACGTGGGGATCGAACTCCCGAGCTGTGAGATCATAACCTGAGCCAAAATCAAGAGTCAGATGCTTGACCAACTGAGCCACCAAGGTACCCCTCTATGCAGGGTAATTCTTATTAGCAGCTATTGATATAATTGTGTTGAAAATCAGCTGGCCATAACATTAACAGTTTATTTATGGATTTTTATTCTGTTGCAGTGATCTGTGTGTCCACACTTGTACTAATACTATATTGTCCCCTCATTGATGTAACTCTATGGTAATTTTTGAAACTGACAGTCATCCAACTTGGCTTTTCTTTTTCAAAATTGTCTTGGCTAGGGGCGCCTGGGTGGCGCAGTCGGTTAAGCGTCCGACTTCAGCCAGGTCACGATCTCGCGGTCCGTGAGTTCGAGCCCCGCGTTGGGCTCTGGGCTGATGGCTCAGAGCTTGGAGCCTGTTTCCGATTCTGTGTCTCCCTCTCTCTCTGCCCCTCCCCCGTTCATGCTCTGTCTCTCTCTGTCCCAAAAATAAATAAACGTTGAAAAAAAAAAAATTTAAAAAAAAAACAAAAAACAAAATTGTCTTGGCTACTCTGGGTCCTTTACATTCCCATATAAATTTTAGGAGAAGCTTGTCAGTTTCTTCAAAAAGCATGCTGACATTTTGACTGCATTGAATTATGAGATCAATTTGGAGTGAATTTAGCATCTTTTCAGTCTTTTTCCGATTTCATTTTATACAGTTTCCATTGTTATATCTTCAAGTTCATGAATCTTTTCTTTTGTAATGCCTAATCTCCTTTTTATCCCATCTACTATACTTTTCATCTCAGACATTGCCCTTCTTGTCTCCAAAAGTTTGATTTTGGTTTTAGTTATATCATCCTTACCTTTACTTAGTATGTTCAAGCTTTCCTCCAGTTTCTTGACCATATAGAATGTATAATTATTATAAATTATACATTGAGACAATTGTATGACTCAATGTCCTGTCTACTAATTCTATCATTTGTGTGATTTCTGAGTTGGTTTTGATGACTGATTTTTCTCCTTATCATTGGTTTTATTATCTGGAATCTTTGCGTGCTTGGTAATTAAAAAGTTCAGATCCCAGACCTTGTGGATTTTACCTTGTTAGGTGCTAGATTTTTAAAAGTCCTTTAACTATTTTCAAACTTTGTCTGGGTTGTAGTTAGATTATATGGAGACAGATTAATTCTTTTGGGTCTTGTGCCTTAAGGGACAAGAGCAGAGTTTAGGGCATATTTTGCCCTATTACTGATGCAAAACCCTTCTGAGTATTCTACTTGACATCCCACGAATTATGAGGTTTTCAATTCTGGCTGGTGGGAAGAGAAGCTGGCCCTGTGCGAACTTTGTAGATTGTTCTCTATAATCTTTCCAGGTGTTTTTCCCTAGCGTTGGTTTGTACACACACACACACACACACACACACACACACACACACACACACACCCCTGAGTGGGACCCTGTGCACATCTCTGTGGCTCTCTGTGTGACTCCTTCCTGGTCCTATGAGACCTCTAGTTTTCCTGAGACCTCTAGTTGCCTGGCTTTCCTGGACTCCCAGTTCCACGGGCTCGACTCAGAGAAACCACTGGCTCCTGTTGGATTCCCTCTCCATGTAGCATGGTCTGGACAATTTCAAAAACTATGGTTTAATGTACTTTGATTTTTTGTTTGTTTCAGATGGGAGAATAAATCTGGTTCCTGTTATTCCACCTTAGGCAAAAGTGTAAGTCCATAATAGTTTAAAAGAGTAAAAATGGATTTCTTTTCTAGGATTTCTGTTATGCTGGCACTTTGTATTTTTTTCCCGACAAAATACATTTTATAGTTAAATACTTTTGAGGTACTGAAAGTTATAAAGGTACAGAAAAAAAAATAATGTCATAATTTGATTACCTATAATTTAGTATAATTCCTTCAAATCTTCCTTTATAAAATGTTGCACAATTTTGTGACCTGCTTCTTTCCCTTATGATTATATCATAAGCATGTTTCTGTGTTTTTAATGTCTCTTTATAAATATAATTGCATATTCTGTGTTTTGCCATTGTTGTAATGATTTTTCTCTTTTTGTTTGGTTAACCTGGCTAGAAATGTAGTTAACTTATCCAATTTTGTTTTTTTTAATAGGCTACGATTTTAAAAATATTTAAAATTTTCTGTGAAAGCTGAGCCAACTGTAGACTTCCTATTGTTTTTTCTTTCATTATATGTTTACTTTTTCTTGGTAAAGATTTTATAAATAAAGCTACAGATTTTCTCTCTGCTGCTTCCTCCATGTGTAATTTAATCTCTGATAAATAATTTGAGTCAGAATATATGGAGAAATTATTGTTTTCATCTATGACTCTAGAAGGTGGTTTTTTCCCCCCAACATCTTTATCTTCATTTATATGTTGACTATCTGCACACATTCTAAATTTTAACCATTTTGGTTGCGATCTTTGAAAAAATGCTTCTTGGTTCCTAATGCATTCTTAACCTCACTAATGGTGAAATAATTTTTTTCAGAAAAATATATATGTGGGGGAGGAAAAGATACTTATTGTATTCTGGACATTATTATTATTATTTTTTTAATTTTTTTTTCCAACGTTTATTTATTTTTGCAACAGAGAGAGACAGAGCATGAACGGGGGAGGGGCAGAGAGAGAGGGAGACACAGAATCGGAAACAGGCTCCAGGCTCTGAGCCATCAGCCCAGAGCCCGACGCGGGGCTCGAACTCACGGACCGCGAGATCGTGACCTGGCTGAAGTCGGACGCTTAACCGACTGCGCCACCCAGGCGCCCCACTGGACATTATTCTATAGAATCAAAGTTGAACAAGATGTAAGAGATTGCAAGTATATCAGCATAGTTTCTGACATTTCTTTCTGGACTCATCTCACATTCTGTTTTCCTTATCAGATGACCTCATTTTAGTCCGAAGAACCAGCTTGTGAATGATAACTGGAGGGGTAGTCAGAATTCTGATTCTGGCCCTGCTATCACATTGGACCTTGGGATCCCTTGGACTAGACAATCTAGTTCCTTCCAGTTTAAAATTTCTATAGTTCTGTCTTTGCCTAGACCAGGCTAAGTATTCCTGTTGGACCATAAACAGTATCACAGCCATTTGGCAGCAGCAACTAGAAAGGGGATTCATCTTTCCATTCATTTACTTCTTCAAAGATTCATTGAGCAGCTGCTCTCCCCACCAGATCACTGTGCTAAGCAACAAAGAAACTAAAAGGGTTAATGCTTTGTTCAATCAAGGACCTTGCTGTTTAAAAGTAAGGCAGGTAGGTGAACAAGTGGCTGTAAGACAGGGTGATGGGTGCTTATGATTGGGAGCAGTCAGGGAAGGCTTCCCAGAGGAGGCATCTCTGGAAGACGAGAGGAACAGGAATGAGGCAGGTAATGAAGGATATTGGTTTGAGACAGAGGATACAGGATGTACAAGGCCTAGTAAGTAAAGAGAGTGAGGTATGTACGCTTCCTTGGAACTTGAGAAGTCTGTTACAACTGGAACACTGAGACATGGAGACAAGGGGAAGAGGAACTGATGAGTCCAACTTTGGACAAGCGGAATTTGGGTGCTGGTCAAAAGAAAATTCAAGTATGTCTGTCATCAGGCAGCTGTGCACAAGAGCCAAGAGATCTGGTTAGGGATACAGAAGAGAGTCATTAGCATGAAGAGGTCACTGAAGCCACAGGAGTAGATGAGATCACTTAGGAGGAATGGGTGGAGTAGCATGTTTACTGTAGTTCACAGACGAGGGAGCTGTGGACTGGCTTCAAGGAATTCATGAAGTGGGTACAAAATTTTGTAAAAATTTCCATCATATTTACTTTAAATATCACCTTAGAATCAAATAAATTTTAAATGTCTAATTCTGTTCTTGTGCACTCATCATTGAGGCACGATAGTCTAGAAAAGTTTGTGGCTTTCAGAAATAAAAGAAAGCATACTCTGCCATTAATATTACCCACACATTCCTTCATTTACTTTGGGCCTATATTGAAAAGATGCCAAAGCAAAAGACAAAAGTTAATGAATTCAACTTTTGGTTTTACTATCATCAATGAACACAACAAACTTTTTCTGCCAAGGGCCAGATGGGAAATATTTCTGGTTTTGCAGGCTACAAGGTTTCTGGTATAATTACTCAACTCTGTATGAAGCCAACCACAGATGACACTATGTAAATTAATGAGGATGGTTACAATCAAACTTTATGTTACAAACTTTATTTATAAAAACACGTGGTGGCCTTGATTTTGTTTTACTTTTTGAAAGAAGGCCTCATTTGAAAAGGCTGAAAACTTTTCCAGAACTTGAATTTGTATTCCCACAAAACCGGGTCTTGAAGATTTCTACCAGATTGCTGATAATGTTGGAATGAGTTTGTAACTTAGAGCAGTGGAAAAACTAAAAACATTGCCTCTTTAAATGTTCTCTTGCTCTCCAGAAAAACTGCCAATTCCACCCTATTATTTTGAAGCAGTTCAGGGAAGAACTGAAAGCTCTGTCATTCATTTCAATTTGCACCTGGATGAAAACAACCACTCTCCCGAGTGCATCCAGCGTCTGGGTTTTGTTTGTAGTATGAATGCTGACTTTACCAAAGATGAATTCTTACTTTGTGAAAAGCATTTTCCTGCCCATCAAAATTTGGACTAGAAGAAAAATCCATGTACCAGATAGAGCCGTATAAAGGGTAGCAACACATCCAGCTGTGTGGCTTAGAGAAGTAAACTCCACCAGCTCATTATCTCAATCACTGTGTACCACAACAGATCAGACTAGGCCCACAACTCTGAAAGAAATCTTGTCAATTTCACTGGCAATGGGGTTCTGAAGCCCTGCTTTTCCAGGTGGCTTTGTGGAGGAACCAGAGCAGGATAGGAAGTTCTTTCTTGGCTTTCCAGAGAAGAGGTGTTAAAGAGCATGACTGAAAATAGATAGAAGTACTGTTTTCATTTTTATTTTTTTAAGAGAAAAGAGTCTTTGGGGAATTTACTAATGTTGGGCTTACTCACAGCTATTTTTTTTTCACCAGTGAACGAGATAATCTTTTGATTTGAGGCTCTGTAATCAATATTATGAATGCAACTCTATTTGCTGTCTGGGCTAAGTTGCCTTTTGAAGAGCAGTGGGGAAAGAGATATCTAATGGAGTCTTCTAACGTTGGAGGAAGTACTTCAGCAGGCTAGAATAAAGTGAAAAAGGCTTGTCAAGTTCTTTGCATGCAGAAATCGTAAGACACATGAAAGTGGCCTTCAAAAGGTTCAGACGATATTATAATTAGGATATGGATTTATAATCCTTTTCTTGCCCATACAGATATTGTCAGTGATATAAGCCAGCCAAAGATGACTTCATTGTGCTGAGGACAAAGGAACTGATGTGACATAATTTTGAGTAAAAGGTTTTAGAGAATTCTGGTGCTGTCTGACACAAGTCTCCCTAGATAACTTAATTTGATAGTCACAGGATTTTAGTACTTGTTGCCACCAGAATGAAAGTCTACATTGATTTGGCTGTCAAAGTTGATAAGCATATTGCCATGTAAGAAATCTCTATAGAACCTCAACATTTTATTCAAGTCAAATAGCAGCCTTCTCATGGAAATTCATTTTTAGCCTGCCTTATAATTTACTTTTTCTTTCACTTATAAAATGAAGGGATTTGTTTCAATTTTTCCCCAGGAATTTGCCATTAAATTTGCATCAAAGTTTGATTAAATATCATGGATTAAACAAATGTGTTTTATTGCCACTACCCATTAGAATCTGAAAGCGACAGGGGCACCTGGGTGGCTCAGTCGGTTAAGCGTCCGACTTCAGCTCAGGTCATGATCTCGCGGTCCGTGGGTTCAAGCCCCGCGTCGGGCTCTGTGCTGACAGCTCAGAGCCTGGAGCCTGCTTCCGATTCTGTGTCTCCCTCTCTCTCTGCCCCTCCCCTGCTCATGCTCTGTCTCTGTCTCTCAAAAATAAATAAATGTAAAACAATTAAAAAGAAATTAAAAAAAAAAAAAGAATCTGAAAGCGACAGAAGTAAAATTTAAAGGGACATCATCCCCTAGGACAAAGAGAATAGAAGGGAGACAATGCAAACAAAAGCTTAACAAGGAAAAAACCTTCTGAAAGCCAGAAAGTTCCTGATATTCCAGAGGAATAGCTTGTAACTTAAACAGCTAAGAGTGCTCCAATGAGAAGTCTGAGACACTTTGTAAAGATGTGTTATCCCTATGTAAACTATCAAAAGACCCAAATCTCCAACATAAGGAAAACACTGTAGGCAAATTTTGAGTTAACGTACTTCAACTCATTGTCTGAAGTGGACTCTCATGAGATTCTCACAAGGACCCGTGACAGAAAATAAGAAAATAAAAGAATATGCTTTGCAGACAAAATGTTAAAAATGTTAAAATCAGACAGGTCCTTCTGGATCGTGTCATTAATCATCTTAGCTTTCAACGAGCCTCAATGAGCCATTAGTGGCAAGAGAGGAGTCTGAAGCCTGGATCTCCTGACTCCCAGGTCAGCGTCTTTCTTCTTCAGCTCACTGCCTCACCGTCAGTGAGCCTGTACGTATACGTAATAAAGCAGCATAGAGGTGTAATCCTCATACCTGATCCTGGATACTGGAAGACATTCTGCTGCATCTGAGGATTGATTCCAGTGCCAAACTGTCCTCCCATGTTTCCTGTCATGCCTCTGTTCACCATGCTGTTGCGGTTGGCCAAGGTTGACTCGGGATTTGCTGCCAGTTGTGAAAACGGGCTGGTAGAAGCAGGTGGGGTTCCTGGATTTGTACCATAGTTTGGTGGGTAGGGAAATTGCTGCGGAGCACCCTGAGGAAGACGGGGGTTCCCCATTTGAACTGGCAGTCCAGATGAGGGAGGGAGGTTGTTCCCAAAGCTTTGTTGCCTCATGAGCATGGCTCTTTGCTGCTGTATTAGCTGCCTCTGTCGGTGCTGTTGGCTGTACAACTCCCGCTGGCGCTGTGCCAACATTTGGGCGTTCAGGGGTGGCTGCAAAGGAGAAAACAAATCCTCACTTATTAATATTGTTATCGTCGCCACCTATTTTGGAAAGCTTACAGGATAAAGCCTAGTAGCTTGGGACAACAAAATATGTAGCAATTATCACTATGACTTCGATCTTATCTGACTTTAGGTTACGAGACTTTTTTTCTTTTTCATTTCCCCCAAATTTACTGTGTTTCTTAGTCCCCTCCCTTTTTAATGTTTACTTATTTATTTTGAGGGAGAGAGAGAAAAATCCCAAGCAAGCCCCGTGCCACCAGGGCAGAGCCTGACATGGGGCTCGATCCCACGAACCACACGCGATCATGACCTGAGCTGAAATCAAGAGTCAAAACACTCAACTGATTGAGCCACCCAGGTGTGCCCCTGCCTCTTTGCACTAAGATCAGTTATTCCACTTTCATGAATAAAATGTGATTATAGTTGATTTTAATTTTCTTCATATTTCCTATATTTTCCAAATTATTTATAATGAACATGCATTACCTTTACAACTAGAAAAACCTACAAATACTGTTTAAAAAGGAAGAATCAGAAATCCAGGATCCAGTGCCAAATAAATTGTTACTTAAAAAGAAAATAATTCATTAGAAATAAAATAATAAACAGAAATAAATGGAACCAGCTATTTTATATCATTGTTGCAGTAAAGACTGCTCGAGGCATTGGAGTACATATTTTAATAGCTGTAATAGTAGGAATGATAAAAGAAGCAATAAAAATAGGCTAAAATCACTTTTTGGTCTAACCCGTAAAGAAATATGGCATGTCAATAAAGCCTTCCTCAGAAAATTTCAATTCAGACTGAGGATCAGGTTAGAGCATATAGCTCCTTTAAAATTAAACTTGCCAACCAGATATAGTCCAATCTAGAAGAAACTGTGACATATGACTTTCTGACACAAATCATCTTTATGTGAATTCCAAAAGTGGGGTCTTCTTTCCTTATAACCTAATTAACCTCATATGACCTAATCACTGATGTTTCTTAAAAGAGAGAAACCCAAGTATGGATCCATGAAGACACCAATGTCTGCTGCTTAACAGTAGTTTCTGTCAATATTTATCCTTTTGGTTAACAGTTAGCTTCCTGTATTTGCCCAAATCCATCTAGGTGCATTTCATGGAGAAAAGAAAAGTTGTTTGAATCCTCTCTAAAATTCCTCATCTCCCAAATTTGTGTGTCACCTTGGTTAAGGAAACATAAAAAAAGTGGTTGAAGCAAAAATATTAAAGTATGTGTGGAAGTTAAGCAGGGAGTGAGTACTAGACAAGACTCAGAAGGCTACCCAACTCTTTTTATGTTTAAAGTTCCAGTGGCTCGGGGTTCATATCCAAGGATTGTTAAAACAAATGAAAAATAAATAGAAAACGCTGATGCTCGGACTGAGCAGAGAACACAAGGTAGGTAAGATAACTCAGCAATGTAACTGAGTTTTGATCAGGTTTCAGCTACCATTCACACAGCTTCTTATCTAGGCTTCTTATTACTGGTATTATTTGGGATAGCAGTAAGAGTTTTCTACTTATTCATCGGGTATCTAATAGCAGTGACAACAATACCAATAAAACCAAACAGGGAACCCTTGGCTTCAGATCAAATATCAGTAAGGGGTATCACAAGTCGATTATAAATTCATTCTAGAAGAAAGCTGGACTACTACATAAGAAGATCAATTCACAGACCATTTCAGACACTCCAGTCAACACTTGGAGAAACACAGCTTGGGCTGGAGGAGTACTAACAATGCCTGGTTTTCTCACAGTACCTGAGGTGTAATCTGCTGCTGCATGCCTGATCTCATATTGATGCCAACGGGAGTGTTTGCTGCAAACTGGTTTAAGATAGCTTGCCGATTTTGGTGTATCAACTAGAGAAAAATGTAAACAATGAGATATCATATTTCTATATGCAAACATATACTTTGGCCCTCACAGAGTGACACAAACTTTTCATTGATTACTAACAAGTTTTAGTATTACAGGTTTAGTAAGATTATTTCCCATGTTTATTTGCCAAAAGGCTGGCAATTCCTAACATTTATCAAATACTTCTTGTCTACAGAACACCAAATATGACAAAGCATTTAAAAGCAGAATCCATATTCATGTACATATATATATATATATACACATGCATATATATATGCAAATAGGTATATACACATATCGTACATACAGCGTACTTTTTAAAACACGCTAATACTTAATTATTTCAGTCAAGTACAATAATGGAGAGAAAAGAAACATCAGCCCTTGGTCTTAAACACTTGTAAATATAAAAGTAAGTATATAATAGGGCACATTCTATAAAAGTTTGGAAGACGAATGGAAAAGTTGAGGCACTTCTCATTTGAAGACTGACTGTCAGATGGGTACATATTTGGGGAAATCCAACATGATTTCATTCACTGAAGAGAATTATGTAAGAAACAAATGGTTTGAGAAAATAGACTATTTATTTAACTAGAAGAAGTAATTACTTTAGACCAGCATTTCCCAAATTGGTGTTCTAAAGAACACTGTTCTGCAGGATATTAATAGATGTGCCAGGAAAATAGCATGCTGTGCTGTATTAAGTATTGGAAATGATGGGTTACACAAGGTGAAACAGATTTCTTTACTGCAGTAATTCTATGAGCCTTTAATTGACCAAAGCACGCTATGGATCTTCAAGAGGGCGTTATACTATGCAACTTGTTCTCAGAAACCTTTTTTCCTGACACGTAGCCATTAACATGACTACAGAGCAATCTTGTATGGAACTCCAGTTTGGAAGATGCTGTCTGTATTGGACTTAGGGTTCCAGGTCATAGGCATTCCTTAACTTTATCAGGTAACAAAACAAGCATCCTTGGAAGTGATATTTCCTGATAAACAATCTATAGCTTAAAGAATTTCTTGCTCAATAATTTGATATGAATAAACTGTTCAGAGAGATAACAGCAACAATATCAATACTATTTTGTGTTTATATGGCATTTTATAACAAAAATTACTAATAAACACATTAACATGTCAATATAGTTTACATTTTAATACATTTAATATATTCCAATATACTAAATGCAAACTAGAAAGACTAAGAAAGTTTTGTAAGAAAATCCATATTGTTGTAAAAAGTGATGAAATCACCCATTTCCAAACAGCTCAATTCTTAATTCTGGTTTCATTAATTTTCTGACTCCCATTAGGTCAGAAAACAAACTGTTTTTGGGGGGAAAGCTCAACAGAATATAAGGATTAAAATGAAAATTTTCAGGCATTTGTGGAATATGATAAAACATTTGGAATCGCTTAAAAAATAAAGTTATGAACATTATGGTTTTAAAAGTCAAAGGGACTCTTAAGTACAAAAATCTATATACTTGTTAAATTCTACAGACCACAGACATACGTTTAAATAAACCATGAACTTTATGAAGATTTATAAAAAAACAAAACAAAACAAAACTAACTGTACGCAAGATACTACATAAGGTTTGAAGGCTAACGAGGTGAGCATATTTCTTTCCTCCAGGAATTCTCTGTTGAGTGGCACAGGCCAATACAGAATGGCGCCACCCACAAGTGCTGTACGTGTGTATACAGGGATGTCTACAACTAACTCAGCTGAAGACGTGAAGGGAGGGACCAAGGGCATGAGTGAGCTCAATGGGACCTTGAAAGATGAGAATGCCAGCTGGCAGGAGGATGGCAGAGTTAACCTGAGGCAGAAAGTACAGCGAGTCCAAAAACAGAAGACAAAGCAATGAGGACAGGTGAAAATACACGAATACGCAGTGATGAAGACAAGTAACGTTGCTGGGGGAGTGGGAGTTGGGATTCCAAACTCACAGCTTTATATATTCTTGGAATTGTGAGACAGTGTGAGAATGCAATGGGTGGGGATGGAGGAAAGATGCCTAAGAAGTAGTAAAATTGAGAAAATAACCTTAGGAAATATATTACTACCTTGGAAAATAAACAGGCTATTTTTGGAAGTAGAAGAAATTACTGCAATCTACAAGCACTTTCTGCAAAATTGATCTGTTTCTGCCCTTGAAATAATTCTTATTCATTTCCCCATCCTCCCCTTGACCATCTCTGTGCACAACCTGACTAATGCAGTGTACAGCTGCCTCACTCTGACCTACTAAAATGCTACCCATTATCTAGCAAGCAGATCAAGCTCTATTTCTGCCAAGGAAGTCTTCCCAAAATGATCACCATATCCTTTAACTCCTCGGAAATCTTGACTTTTGGTTGGTGGGTGGAGAGAGGTCAGTAGTCTTTACAGCTGGGGACATAAATTCAAAAGTCTACAGAGGCCAGGTCAAAAGACTTCTATTATAAAAGGAAATGTGGGGCTTGAGGCCAGTGGAACAGTACAAATTCAACCCACATGTATAAAACACCCCCCCCCTTTCTCTCTCTCTCTCTCTCTCTCTCTCTCTCTCTCACACACACACACACACACACACACACACACCCAGAGTTCAGACCAGCTGACATTTTGTCTGTCTGAATGTTTTGTTTTGTTTTTTTTTTCCAATGCCTTACCAAGAAGTCCTTCTATAGGAAAACTAAAAGATGATTACCTAGCTAGAGGTTCCCAATCAGGGATGATTCTGCCCCACAAGAGACATTTAGCAATGTCTGAAGACATTTTTGGCTGTCTTGGGGAAAGGCTGCTACTGGCATCTAATGGGTAGAGGTCAGGGATGCTGCTAAACGTTCTTAAATGAATGGGAAAGTGCCCTATAACTAGAATTATCTATCCCAAACTTTCAAGAGTGCCAAGATTGAAAACCCTGATTCAGCCACTGTGTACATTTTTGACAAGGAGTTCTTTTAAAGAAGCTCATTCTTACATCAGGCAGTTTTCATTGTCAGAATTCTAGAGGTGAAATTTGCCTCTCTGTATTTTCTGCCCTTTGATCTTAGTTCTACTTTCTGGTTACTTCTATTTTCTATATAATATAAAAAATTATCAATAGTGGTTCTTCTACCAGATCCATACTCTTCTTCAGTACCCTAACACATAACACAAGTGGACTTGACTTGTTTTAAGATGGCTAAGTAATCACATTTCTTTACCTGTCTCAACTGTTACTCCCTTTTCAAAAAATTTTTTGTAATATTTATTTTTAGAGAGACAGAGACAGAATGCGAGTGGGTTAGGGGTAGAGAGAGGAAGACACAGAATCCGAAGTGGGCTTCTGGCTCTGAGCTGTCAGTGCAGAGTCCAACGCAGGGCTCGAACTCACGAGTTGTGAGATCATGACCTGAGCTGAAGTTGAATGCTCAACCGACTGAGCCACCCAGGCACCCCTCCCTTTTCATATTATCCTTTTCTTGGGAGTATGAAGACCCTTGCTGGAGAAGAAGAAAACAAAACTAGAACAGAATAATTACATCTCTTATCAGCTAATGTTATACCATTTTCTACAAGCAACAGGTCTACCCATTTTTGCTGTTGTCCTTTTCTGAAAATAGAACTTTAGAAATTCTTTTTTTTTTTTTAATGTTT